TTCTATTTTTCTCTTGACAAAAACCTAATCTGTTCAAGGAACCAGGAAATATTCCCAAAGGCTCCTTGTATACTGAGAAACTGATGCATCAGTCCCCTCCCTTGATTCAGGCCATTAATGTGATGATTAAGACTCTGGCTCGCTCTCTGGGGGAATTTATGGATACCCTAGAACAGAAAGAACTCATGATGGTAGAAGATTGGTAAATTATGAAGGAGAACGTATGGAGTGGCATGAGTTAACATTTATGGAGAGACTAGCCAGAATGAGAAACCCCTGGTGCATTTTAGATAGGAAAGAGAGGCAGGCTATTCTTGACAACATGAAGCCAGCCGTTCAATATTGGAGCAAACCCTGGTGGCGGAATCCTGAAGAAAGGTTACCTAACCTTAAGGGTTACCTTAAGGGCAGATATGATTTAGAGCCATGAGAAAGCGCAGTTGGTTAGTGGCGTGAGACGAATTTCAAAGAAAAGCTCTGCCCACCTGGCCCTGATCACAAGACTTGCTGAGAATAATCAATTGCCTGTAATCATTTTTTCTATGTAAGCTTTTGTGTCTGCCAACTTCCTTCTGTAATCTCATAAAAGTGGTGCTTGAATTTTAGTAAAATTACAGCAGATTCAAACCTCATTAGAGTTGTATCTGTCTGTCATTTGCCGAACTTGTGCCTTCCTGTTACCAAGACCCTGCTTCTCCCACAGTCTGAGTGGCTCCCCTGAGCCGGTCCGTGGCACCTATAAAACCACCTTCTGTTTCACACACATGCGGCTGCAAATGTTAGATCCCAGATAGCCCAGCTGCGCCACCCCTAGACCCGGGTCAACCTCCCCTGCAGCTCTGGTCTTTACTTGAGGATCCAGGCCAGAGAGCTCAGGTAAGCTTGGACCTGGCTGCCCACACCTCTTTTCCTTCAGATTTTTCTTTGGGTCCCTCTCCTGTAGTAGACCACACCAAAGCTGAGCAGTGTGCTGGGATCTTGGCTGATTCCCTGTTTGATAGCACCCAACCCTGGCATCTACAGGAATCAGAAAAATATAGTTTCTTCCATTACCTGGAGTTTGGAGGATAGCAAGGCCTGGGAGCAGCTGCCCTCCTCTCCTAGCTGTTCATTGTAGAACATTCCAGCAAATGTACTCAGGCAGCTGACTCTGGACAAGCCTGACCTGAGTAAACACTGATCTTTGTTCTTGAGATTTGCTCTGTTGAAAAGCAATTAATGACTAACAACCAGTGTTGTTCTTGAGATTTGTAGATGTCAAAAGCATCTTGTGACCAGACCGTTAGAACGAGGTTTGTTGTGGTGGTCTGAACAGGCATGGCCCCTATAGACTCATGTGTTTGAAGGCTTGACTCACAGGGAGTGGCTCTATTAGGAGCTGTGGCTTTGTTGGAGTAGGTGTGGCCTTGTTGGAGGAAGTGTGTCACTGTGTATGGGGGGGGGCTTTGAGGTTTTACAAGCTCAAGTTTTACAAGCACAGTGTCTCCTTCTGCTGCCTGTGGATCAAGATGTAGAACTCTCAGCTCCTTCTGCACCGTGTTTGCCTGCGCGCCATCATGTTTTCTGCCTTGACGATAATAGACTAAACCTCAGAAATGAATGCCAGCCCCAATTTAATGTTTCCTTTATAAGAGTATCTGTGGTCATGGTGTCTCTTCACGGCAGTAGAGACCCTAACTTAGACATTTGTGCTATCAGTCCCAGAGGCCAGTGAAAAGGTGCCCACTGGTCTATGATCACCTGTCTCCTAAACTGGCAAAATCAGCCTACTGACAAGATGGACGTTTGAAATTACTGTATATTAGATGTACAGGATGGTGGGTTCATTGTGATATATTGTGAGACGTGTGTATGATGTGCTTTGTCCATTCCTCTCATCCCCTGTTTGGAGAGTCCCCACCTCACAGGCACTTTTGCCTGTTTTAGGATGGCAGAAGACTGTGCACTTAGGTGTACATGTGAATGGCACGGTCCACAGCCCCACCCAGGAGGCACCGACTCACAAATAACTTACTCCTGAAAGGAAAGAGTGCCACCCTAGAATTTTAGCATAGTAAACTCTAACTGTAGGAGCACATGAACCAATTAAAAATCATGCCAGCAAAGATAGGCCAAAGGACTTATTTACATACCAACCAATATAGTGATATTTTGTTTATGATCTAACAAATAAAGCTCGCCTGAAGATCAGAGTGCAAAGCTAGCCGCACTAGTCAGCCATACAGGCCAGGCAGTGGTGGCACTCACCTTTAATCCAAGCAGCCACTCTAGTTAGTCATAAAGGCCGGAGAGGGTGGTGCACATCCTTAATCTCAGCACTAAAGGGAAATATAAGGTGGGATGAGACAGGGACTCACTCTCTTTCAGTCTGCAGATTTCATAGAGGTAAGAGCTCTCTAGTGGCTTGTCTGTTTTGCTTTTCTGATCTTTCCTGATCTGTGTCTGGGCTTTTATTAACCATGCTACACACCAAGGGATGAGTGCACCTGCCTTACTTGGACCCCATGAAGGAGACATATAACATGTGATGCCTCCACTAACTACTATGTTGTCTGGCCATACATTGTATGTGTTGGGGGCCAACAGGAGAGAGTTCTTGACCATCCCATGGACTTCAGTTTAGCTTGGTCCCTGTTGTTGATGTGTCCACCTGCTCATCTATCTGGACCTGCTGTCGGTCTGTCCACTGGGTTATTCAGCTGGATCCTACCCTGCCTTTGATTCTACAGCATCTCATTTTTGTTGTTTTATTTTGGTTTACAAGACAGGGTTTCTCTATAGCTTTGGAACCTGTCCTGGAACTAGCTCTTGTAGACCAGGCTGGCCTGGAACTCACAAAGATCCGCCTGTCTTTGCCTCTCGAGTGCTGGGATTAAAGGCATGCGCCACCACAGCCCAGCACCTCATTTTTACCCTTGCCTTGAGGCTGCACAGTGAGCACACGCTGAGCCTCCAACAGGGTTTTAAAGGAAAGCCAGCCTTGTGCCCTGAGACTTTTCTTGTGTCTGTTGGCTCCCCACCCCCACTTCTGTCTCTGTTGGGACTCTCTGAGATTCCTTGAACTCTGCTCTGGCTCCTTTAACCCTTTGTGGCCATGTCACTACAGCTGTGTTAAGAACTCTAATGCCTCAGCCCCATGGGCATGGCAAAGCTTTCCCCAGGTCAGCTTCTTCTAGAAGGATGATGAAACTTTCCTTCCGGGTTCATGTGCGAACAAAGCGTGTACAAAGCCTCCGACGTTTACAGTCTGAGACTGCTCACTTACAGAGACTGCCTATGGAGACCAGTTACTTCCCCTCTCTGTGTTGGACACGATAAACAAGCTGAGGTTCCTGGTCACAATGGTAGTATGTGTCTCCATCAGAGTGCTCTTACCTCATCTGACTCCACCCTTCTGTACGTGTGTCTGTATGTTCATCCTTTCTTTATTCCTTCACCACCCTTAGTCAGAGTTTCGGGACCCAAGCCAAGAAGGACTTGGCATATGCATATATGTATAGGTAGATATATTTACCGTGTGATGTAGTGTGCGATCCAGCCATTAATATTTAATTTAAGATAGCTTGCCTGAATCTGCTAGGAAGGAAAATGGGATGGCTCTGAAACTTGCTGCTGATGTGGTTTATCGCTGTGGAAAGTACAGACCTGTCTGTGTTCCTGTCATAGTGCTTAGACAGGCCCTCTCCCCGTCCTGTTGCTCCAGTTCCTCTTTAAATAATGCTGGACATCAGTTCCTCCATCTTCTCCAGCATCTAACTTTCCAAATAAAGCAACCTTCCTTGTCTGTCACTTTGATCCCGGGCTTAGCTGGCCTATGCTGTGGAAACCAACTGGGAATCTTATGGTAACACTAAGTCCAAATTTCCGCTGGTCTCGTGAATCTCCCCAGCAAGTCCTCAGACTTGTGACAGTCTTGTGAAACTCTAGGGTCACACCAAAGAAATCTGCAATCGTTTTGTATTCTAATCTGACATATCAGATGTTGGGCTACACGGAAGCTTTTGTAATTGTGTCCCAAATGGCTGTTATCACAACTCCCTAGCCAGGGCACACTCTCTCTGTCCTCTCTAGTGTATGTATTTGCCTGGCCAGCATAAGGATAGGTGTCCCGCACCTTATCCCAAAACCTGAGTTATGATTGTTTTCTTGCTTTTCTCTCTGTCAAGGAAAGCAATGGTCTCCAACAAGCTTGGCGGGGTGGATTTCCCTGGGGACCCAGATTTATCTGGGCTGTGGGTAAGGCCCACAGTTCTCAGCGGTGTAGGGAGAGGATGCTGAGCGGGGGGCGGTTCCATACAGCCCTCCAGGGATGGGCGCTGTGGTTATGGACAGGCAGTGCCAAATCAAGACCTTCTTGTAATGCAGCACCGCTGCTGTGTGCTGTGCATGTTTTTCCATAAAGAGGAGTGGGAGTGGGAGCGGGGCTGGGGAGATGGCTCAGCGGTTAAGAGCATTGCCTGCTCTTCCAAAGGTCCTGAGTTCAATTCCCAGCAACCACATGGTGGCTCACAACTATCTGTAATGAGGTCTGGTGCCCTCTTCTGCCCTTCAGGCATACACGCAGACAGAATATTGTCTATGTAATAAATAAGTAAATAGATAAACAAATAAATAACCTGGTGCCCTCTTCTGCCCTTCAGGCATACACGCAGACAGAATATTGTATACGTAATAAATAAGTAAATAGATAAACAAATAACCTGGTGCCCTCTTCTGCCCTTCAGGCATACACGCAGACAGAATATTGTATATGTAATAAACAAACAAACAAATAAATAAATAAAAATAAAAAAGAGGAGGGGGAGCCCAAGACAACGCTCTGATGCTTCTCAAGAATTAGAGTTGCCCCAGCCAGACGCCAGTTTTCCATCTTCACTGCAGGCAGTTGCGTCTCCAGGCCACTGAGGGGCAGCAGCGTGCGTCGGCATCGCCCGGGACGTTTGACGTTTAGCTGTGCTGTGTCGCCGAAGTGTGACGTTAGCCGTGGTGTCGCGCAGACGTGACAGATCGCTCGGCTGCGGCGGAAGCGCCGAGTGCGTAGTCTCAGGGTCCTCATCATGGTTCCTGGGTTGCCGCTCCCGCCGGAGATCCAGCTGGCGCAGCGCCTGGCCGGCAATGAGCAGGTGACGCGGGACCGCGCGTTGCGGAAGCTGCGGAAGTACATCATGGCCAGGTCGCAGCGGGCCACAGGTATGCGGGCGGGCTGGCTCGGAACCTCCACCGCGTGGGCCCCGCGGGGCCGGGTTCACTGACGGGTCTCCTGGCCCAGGCTGTCCTCGTCGGGCTGCACACTTTTCCTTCCTCCGTAGCTCGCTCGTGCTCTGCGGCCCTTACCAGTGATCTGTGACCTTAATGGAATAGCCTCGAGTTTCCCAGAACACGCCTTTTGCTAAGTGGTATCTATGCTTCTGGTCCTCGAAGGGCGACCCCCTGCCAGCAGCCGCCACTTCTCTTGATATCCCTTCACAGATGCAAATTCTAGGTTACTTGAGCAGTGATTTGGCTGAAGTCACGGCCCTAAGCTTTAGGAAGAGCCATAGGGCAGTTTTCCACGCTGCAACCAGAGAACTGCAATTTGGGATGAGCCTCAATAAACGATGATTATGTCCTTTGATAGCCTATGAGTAACTTTCACTATTTAATCTCCGAGATGTAACAGAAAGGCTACAACTCCTTGGTCTAACACTGGCTTAATTATTACTGCGTTCTCTATGGGCCACTATCCTGCTCGGAATGTGTGGCGGTTCTGAGTTTTGATCCTGTGGGACTGATACCTGTCTTTTAGCTGGTGCGGAAGCTACAGGGGGAGTTCCCCTATTCACAGGTACTGCAGCTCTGTTGGAGAATGTTTTGGGGAGGGGCTGGCTGCCCAGTTCCTGAACAATGATATGATTCTGGAGTAGCTTAGGCAATCATGCTTCCTTCCGGCTCGGAAAAGCAGGTTCCAGGGTCCTCTGAACCCACTGACTGTTGCTCTTGTGATTCAGGGGGTTTCACTCCAGTGGAGCTGTTGAAGATATGGAAAGGGCTGTTTTACTGCCTGTGGATGCAGGACAAGCCGCTCCAGCAGGTGAGTGCCTGGGAAGGTACTGAAGAAACTAGACAGGAGTGGATGGCGGGCTGATGGACATGTGCTTGTCCTCCCTTTAACATGGCCAGAGGCTTGGGTAGCGTCACCCAGCTTATATCCCTTGTTGTGTGGGGCCTGTGTTGGAAGGTCCTGACACTTGGGAAAGACAGGAGTGGTTGGCTGACAGAGCATCTTAGTGATGTGGTGACAAACAGTGTAGGCCAGGGTGGGCTGACGTTGGAAACACAGTACTGATATAATGGAAGTAAGGGCTGAATCCAGATCTCCTGGGAGGGCATTTTTCCTGCAGGCCTTTTAGACCAGCGGTTCTCAGCTCCTGAATTGTTTACACAGTTGGAGGGGCCTTACATGCAGTTTTCTGACCCATATTCTTGTGCCTGCTAAAACAACTGTCTCTTTACGGGGGTGTGCTGGGATCTTAGCCAGTATACTGGGTCAGGCTTGACACTGAGAGACAGAAAGATAGAGAATGATTGTTGTGTCTACTTGGCCCCATTTCCTGCTAGAAAGACAGCTGTGTCTCAAGGCTCCTTTCCATCTTGCCATGCTGTCTGGGGCTGGGCCGCTGCCTTAGTGTTTATCGGGAGAGTCTGATGGCTTCCACAGAGTAGGCCTTTTGCAGCTTGGAGGCCCCTGGATGGAGGCCAGCTGGCAGCTGGTTCTTCGTGTGGAGCGAGTGGGCATTGGCCGTGTTTGCTGTTGGAACACAGTGCTTCAGGGCTGACACTGCGCTTCATTTCCCCTCACAGGAAGAACTAGGAAGGACCATTTCCCAGCTCATCCATGCTTTTCAGACCACAGAGGCGCGTGAGTACAGCCCTGAAGCCAGGCCTGTCCCTGCCAACACCAGAGTGGCTACCGATGTAGCAGTGTGTTCTCAGACCTCAAGCTACAGGGAGGTGGCTGTGTGAAAGCTTGTGGTGTGGAATGCCACCGAGTGCTCAGCCTGTACTCAGCAAACAAACGGGGCTCAGGAGTGAAAGGCATACATACAAAGAACATACAAACATACATACATACAACATACAGAGAAAAGCTCAGTGTCATGATACCATCATGTTTAGGTGGTTTCCACCTGATAGCTACGACAGTCATTTTATTCATTCATTTATTTATTATGTTATGTGCATTGGTGTTTTGCCTGCACATATGTCTGTGTGAAGGTGTTAAATCTTGGAGTTGCAGACAGTTGTGAGCTGCCATGTGGGTGCTGGGAATTGAACCTGGTCCTCTGGGAGAGCAGCCAGTGCTCTTAGCTGCTGAGCCAGCTCATTCTCTTAGTGCAGTGGTTCTCAACCTTCCTAATGCTGTGATCCTTTAATACAGTTCCTTGTGTTCTGCTGACCCCAGCCATAAAATTATTCTCATTCTTACTTCATAACTTTTATGAATTGTAATGTAAATATCTGTGTTTTCTGATGGTCTTAGACGACCCCTGTGATAGGGTCATTCAACCCCCAACGGGTCACGACCCATAGGTTGAGAACCACAGTCTTAGTATATTTCCTAGGTCTTCTGGTTTTCATTCATATCCCATATCCTGCCTGCTTTTGAAAATCCTGAGGTCCAGACCCTGGCTCTGGCCAGCCCAGCCCTGGGGCATAGCGTGGCTCAGGCCTCTGCTGCTCTGAGGGCAGTCCTGACAGAGAAGCTGGAGGCTTGTGTTCATGTCCTCAGCGAGCTGGGCTTTAGTTGTATTAGACTAAAGTTGGCAAATTGAGGGAGTATATGCGCATTTTCTGAGTTGGGAGATCCCTCCTCCCATCCCTCTTTTTAGGAGATAGGTTCTTACTGTGGAATTCAGGCAGACCTTGAACTTGGGAATCCTCTGTTATGGATGCGCATCATGGATATCTCTTTAATTGCATGTAAAAGATAGAGTGGATCTGAGCTCCCTATTCTCTCTAAGAAGTGGCAGGAGAGTTGCTTTGCTGAGCATGGAGCTGACCACTTGGTGACAGTTGGTGATCTAGTCAACAGACCACCATAACTGAGTTTGCCATCCTTGTATTCTAGTACCAAGAGTTCCCAGGGCTGGTTACTTGTCCTGCAGATGGCGCCTTCCTCTGGTTGGGTGAGATTAGGTAGGACCCACCGCAGGACCTGCTTTGGTGCCCCAGGACAGCCTCCCTGTTTACTCTGGTTGTGTTTTACAGTACCAACGGTTTAGACTTGGGGTGCAGTTTAGACTCTGCATCCAATATCTGACCCGTCCGTTGCCTGAAGGACTGAAGGATCTAGTTGGGTCAGTGCCAGGCCTCTCCCTACAGTTCTGCTTTGGTGATGTCTTGCTGAAGGTCTAGCGTGGGTGTCTAGAGGTCCTCAGTCCAAGCCTAGGCAAGGACATAGAAGCCTGGGGAGGATGTTTGCAGTGGTCACTCCTTTGCCCAGTCCCGTACTTCCTTGTGCATTTGTTCAGATCAGAAAGACAGCTTGATTTGAACTGTGTTGTGTGTTTTCTCTGTGGAGCCTGGAAACTCCTGTTTCTGACCCTGTGAGTGAATACACAGACAGCGAGTTCTGCGGGTGTGCTGCCCCTCCCCCATGGCTTGGGTGTTACATGTGTGCTCTCTCCCTCCAGAGCACCTGTTCCTGCGGGCGTTCTGGCAGACCATGATCCGAGAGTGGGTGGGCATCGACCGACTGCGCCTGGACAAGTTCTACCTGGTGAGACACAAAGCGGGTGACCCAGGAGCCCTGCAGTGAAGGCGTCAGCGAGGGCTGGTTTGCAATGCACAGCTGCGGTGCTGCTATTGCTTGAAGTGTCCCCATCTTGAGGGTCAGTAGGAGTTCAGAGAAGGAACCTTGCCTCAGCTTTCCTAAAGAAGCCAGCCATTGCAATTTCCAGTAAACCGTGGCCCCAGGACATGGAAGGAAGGGGACTGAGTCCCCCCAGCAGTGAAGATCCGTTTCTAGCTGAGGGCTTGGCTCCTGCCCCCCCCCCCCCGACACATTCTGTTCTGTGTTGTGCTCCTCTCAGCCAATGAGTTGAATAGGAGCATAGACCTGAGTTCTGTGGGCACACCTCGTGCTGTGCTTCCCATGCCCTGGTGCATCCATAGACTTGTCACTATTCAGATGTCCTTCCCTGTAGTGCTGGATCCTGCCCATAGAAACAGATTGAAGATGGGCTGTGGGAATCCAGCATCTCCTATAGCAGGGAGTGGGTCTGTGGGAAAGGTCCTTTGTGGAGTGGCTATGCTAAGATGGAATCAGCTAGGCAGCTATTGCTGGGTCTCTGGTGTGGTAAATGCTGTTGCTTTCCAAGGCCCATTTAAAGATTTTTTAAGTGCAGTGTGTGTGTTTTGTGTGTGTGTGTGTGTGTGTGTGTGTGTGTGTGTGTGTGAGAGAGAGAGAGAGAGAGAGAGAGAGAGAGAGTGTTTTTCGTATATGTATGTGCACCACATGCATGATGCCTGGTGCTCTAAGAGATCAAAGAAGGTATCAGACCCTGTGGAACAATGGATCGTTATGTACCACCCTATAGGTGATGGGAATTGAGTCAGGGTCCTCTGTAAGAGCTACAAGTGCTCTTAACCATCTTTCTAGTTCCGGAGGTCCATTTCATCTTTGTGCCATGTGTGACCAAGTCTTGCAGCATGGCTTACTTTCTCAGTGTTGGTGTGGGTAGGCATAAGATCAGGCCTGCAGTGTCCCCAGGTGTGACCTCAGACCTCTGGTGTGCTCTGAGTGTCGTCCGTTGTCTTTACTGTGGCTTGGATCCAGAGTGGACATGTGATAAGATCTAAAGGTAGAAAAAAATGCAGAAAACATTGAGCCTTGTCAAGGGATAGTGGGCACCATGGGAAGGCACTGAGCCTCCGTTAATGCTGCAGTGGTTCAGAGCAGGGTGTGCCTGTGTCTTGCTCTCTGTTGGGGAAGGGAGAGCTTGTGGGGATTTAGGCCCAGCTTCAGACTTTGCTTTGTGGTGACTCCTGGCATAGGAAGAGCCCACTGCATGCTCTGACCGTTCTGGTCGGTTCTAGATTGTGTTTCCCACTCCACTCAGGTCAACCTGGCTTCCTGGTGCTCATGAAGCCAAGTACAGAGCTTCGATTTCCAGGCCCAGGGTCCAGAGGCCAAAGTGTCATGTCCCCCATATCCACCCTGGCATGCATCTTGGGACAGGAGCTTCTGGGACATGGGCAAGCTGGGTGACCTGTTAACTGTCCTCTCAGTAACATGAATCTTTTGTGTTCAAGCTCATGAGGCTGGTCCTGCGTGAGTCACTGACGACCGTGAAAACCCACGGATGGGAAGAAAGGTGGGTCCACACTGAGAGTCAGATCTCACAGGCGGGTTGGCGAGGGGACCTGTAGCCTCTGGCTCATCTCAGGATTCCTGAGTTTCTCTTGTGATTCTTTGTTGTAGGGAGGTGGCCTTTGTGTTTCTTGGTGCCACAGTGGTGCTAAATTAAGCTACTTTTGTAAAGTAAAATGGTTCGGGTGATGCTGTCTTCTCTGAATTATGCCATCCCAGCCATGTCTGTAGTTGGGCAGGTTATGTGTGCTGGCCATAACAGGCATGCGCTGAAGCCTCCCCCGCCCCGCCTTCCCCCCAAGATAGGCTTTGGAGTCTGTCCTGGAACTCACTTTGTAGACCAGGCTAGCTTCGAACCCACAGCGATCCACCTGTCTCTGCCTCCCGAGTGCTGGGATTAAAGGCGTGTGCGGCCACCACCGGGCACCTAAGCAGTTATTTTTTAACCCCTATTGAGTACTTTAGGACCTGTGGCTCTTAGTCATTCCAGGGCTCAATTGGAGGTACAGTGACTTACACAGAATTCATTACGGCATTTTGTTTTAGTTAATGTTCTTTGATTTACTGTTGCAACTTCCTCATGGTAACAGTGCTGTTTTGGGAACACCCTGAAGGGCCCTGGTCCCTCCCTGGCCTGTGTGGAGCCCATGCTGTGTGTTTGGTGTGGCATAGTCTGGCTCAGGTGTTTCCCACATGTGGTAATGTCATCTGGAGCTTGCCTGTCTCTGGTCTCTTGTTGGGTTTTGTACCTCATCTTGCCATTGGGTTCTTCTGCCCCCGAGCCTGGTAAAGTATTGCTTTTCCTTTCTGTGGTCAGTGTCTGTTCAGTGGAGCCATCCAGGCAGCCCTTAAACAGCGTGTGCCACAGTTCTAGGCTGTCAGGGAGTCTACACTGTCAGCAGTCGAGGAGTTCTGTGTGCACCCAGGCTGCTGAAGACTGCTCGGTCTCTGGTACAGGTCTTTCCCAGTGGTCCATATCTTTCCCAGTGGTGCGGCCCTTTAATGCAGTCCCTCATGCTTTGGTGACCCCTAACCATAAGATTATTTCATTGCTACTTCATAACTGTAATTCTGCTACTGTTATTACTGTCATAATGTAAATCTCTGTGCTTTTCGATGGTCTTAGGTGACCCCTGTGAAAGAGTAGTTTGACCCTTGCCGAGGGGGGTCATGACCCACATGTTGAGAACCACTGGTCTAACCTGTGTTCCTCTTGTTGGCACACCTTCCTCACTTGTGTCTTGAAGATAGGAAAGGCCCGTGTATGTTCCCATGTGGTATGGGCAAGAGGGACTCCTGTCCTATGTTCTGGTGCTAGCTGTGGCCACACAGACCTGGGCAGCAGCTCCTTTGTGCTGCTCGGACCCAGACCTACTGGTTTTGTCTGTGTGTGTGAGAGGTCAGTTGTGCCTGTGGATGGCGGGTCCTCCAGAACCTGTGTGGAGGGAGCAGGGACACCGCCGACCTGTGGCCGACCGCATGGCTATCACTGTTCTTTCCTCTCTCCTCAGACAGATCGAGCAGCTGATGGAGTTGCTCACCACTGAGGTACTGAACCCTGACAGCCAGGCCCCCAATGGGGTGAAGAGCCACTTTCTTGAGATCTTCCTGGAGGAGCTGACCAAAGTGGGCGCTGCAGAGGTAAAGTGGGCTCTGGTGAGGTTTGGTGAGGTGGTGCATATGCCCAGCACAGAATAAAACTTCCTTCTCTCGGTTTTTCCATAGCTCACCGCAGACCAGAATCTACAGTTCATCGACCACTTCTGCCAGATAGCAGCCCACACAAAGGAGTGAGTGGTGGGCGCTCCTGGGGTCTGACCTTTCTCACTCTTTGCCTCTCAAGCCCCAGTGGCCTTTGGCTCTCCTTGCTGTGAGAGTTGGCCTGGTGTCTGAGAGCCCGACCTAATGGGCTCTCTCGTGTTTCCTCACCTCAGCTCCCTAGTTCTGCATAAGATCACTCGGTGCATCCTCGAGACGATTGTGGAACAGGCTCCCTTGGCCATTGAAGACATAATGAATGAACTGGACACACAGAGTGGGAAGAGTGAAGCATCAGATGGTGGTGAGAGCGAAGTGTCAGATGGTGGTGAGAGCGAAGCGTCAGATGGTGGTGAGAGCGAAGCATCAGATGGTGGTGGGGAGTCCTCAGAGGATGAGCAAGATCTGCAAGACACACCACCCAAGAGTCTACATGCAGGTGAGGAGCCCAGCCTGTCTTAGCCTGAGCCCAGGACTCTTGCTGGATTGTTCTATCTCCTGACTGTCCTCTCCAGAGTTTATTGTAGGATGGCATACATGTTTTCTCTCTCTCTCTCTCCGCCCCCTCCTTTCCCCATCTCCCCCCCCCCCCCCTTTCCCCCAGGCCTCCAAGACATGATTTCTCTGTGTAACAGCCTTAACTGTCCTTGTCCTGGAACTAGCTTCTGTAGACCAGGTTAGCTTTGAACTCACAAGATCCACCTTCCTCTGCCTCCTGAGTGCTGGGATTAAATGTGTGCGCCTAGCCATGTTTGCTTTCTTAAGCTTGTCTTAGCACTTGACTCCCAACTACCAGCTCAGTTCCTGGAGTGCTCCTCTCTAAGGCTATAATGTTCCCTGGGTCCTGCATGGCACTCTGACCTTCCTGTTCACCAGGCAACATCTGTCCTGATTTTGTTTCTGGTTTTGGTGGTGACAGAACTGGAACTCGGGGCCTAATGCACGAGGCAGCTGTCCTAGCATTGAGTCATGCCCAGGCCTCATGCTGCTCTCCCCTGGGATTCTCTGCTATCCCTGCCCTCCTGTCAATCTGTGTCTGACTATGTTGCAGAAGGGACAAATGAGTACATTGCATATTCTGCTTGTGAATGGCCGCTGAAGGGCTTTGGGTCTGAGCCAGGCTTCCTTTGTCTTGTTGCTGTGGTCATGGACTCTCAGGGAAGGGATTCTCTGCCCCGCTGGTGTCCTCTTTCAGCTTTAGTGTCAGTGCCTGGCCATCCTGCATGTGTCTTCCTTGTCTTTCTCGGTAGTCCAGTCATCCTAAGTTTCCTGGTGGGTCCCATTGGTGCCTGCTTGTGGCTCAGCAGTCACTCTGTGCAGCAGACCGTCCCCCAGCACCAGTGTGCAGAAGTCCCTCACCTAACGGTGATGCTGAGTGGTCTGTGGGAGCGTGTGCCTATAATCTAAGCACTTGAGAGGCTGAGGCAGGAGAATTGCCCAAGTTGAAGGCCAGCTGTGTTATAAGGGAGTGCCAGGCCAACTAGAGCTTCTTAACAAGGCCCTGTGTCAACTTTGTTTCCTACCAAAGGCAGTGCTGTCAGTTCTCAGTGTCCTGAGCTGAGCTAAGCTTGGCTCCAGTGTCCCTGATCCGCCCTACTGCTGGGACACCTGAATCTGCCTTTCTCCCCAAGGTGCCTGCTGAGCCTTTCCTCCTCTGCAGTCCCCTGGAGACCAGCTGCTTGTGCTCTCCAGCCTGTTCCAGGGCGTGATCAAGAGGGTCCTCTGGGCCTTGGTGCTGGTATTCGGGCACCCCTACACCAGGCACAGTACCTTGAGTTCAGTCTCCATTTTGTTTTTAGGCTCCGTACAGAGGGCTGACCCTGAGGCAGACAAGGAGCAGGTGTTGGATGACGAGGACAGCACTGGCCCTGTCCTCCAGGTAGGCAGCCGTGTCTGGGCTACGAGGTTGACCTTACCTTCAGGCCTCACTGCCCAGGAGGGTGGACGGTAACAGGGATGTGCAGGGAGCCTTCATGGAGGGTGGCTTTGGGGGAAGGGTGGGTGATGGGCAACTGGACAGCTCTTGGTAGGTGCTGAGAGGTTGATGCAAGGACTGAGCCAGCCTTGCTGCACCCCATGTCACTCCTTTTGCTTTGAGCAGGTGGGCTGCCCTCCAGGTCTGACCCTGTCATTGAGGTGCTGGCTTTGAACAGGGTGATAACAGGCTTAGTGGTTTGCATTTGGGTTATAGCTCTGAGTCAGCTCAGGAAGTGGGGTCAGGGGGATTGGAAAAGTCAGATGTTAGTAATGTCTTAATATTGACAGCCCAGCCCATCACTTGAGTAAGTTTGGAGTAGTTTGGGTTAAATAAAATGTGGTGGGCTATTTCCACTTATTTTCTTTTTTGCTTGTCTGCTGTATCTTAATCCCTGCGCTCCAGAGGTGGGCTCCAGGCCAGCCACTTAGTAAGACCCTGTCTCAGAAAGACGATGAAATAAAGGGAAGAGCAGGCTGCCTTCTGAATCTGAGGCTGGTTTTGACTGTGCGGCCCTGGAGCAGTGTGGTGTAGTCTGTCTGCAGGCCTTGCTGGAAGAGCGCTGAGTGCGTTGGGTCTGTTCTTGTGTTGAGCAGAGAATGTCTGCTTTGACTGAATGCCTCCTCAGCCCAGGGAGGCGGGGTGTGTGGACACTGACTGACCATTGTTTTTCTTGCATCTTTTGAGACAGTTTGACTACGAGGCCATTGCTAACAGACTGTTCAAGCTTGCCAGTGGAGAGAGCACCCCGTCTCAGAACAGGAAGCGCCTCTACAAAGTGATCCAAAAGTGAGTCAAGAGGCCTGGTCTTGTCCCTGCTGTTGTCTTTGGTGATGGTCAGCTGTGTCCTTACCACCGGTCCCACCCCCACTGCCTTTGCTGTGCGTTGTCCTGTGAAGTGGCCTGAGCCAGGTGGGAAGACAGAGCTTACTTAGGAAGGTGTCTCGATGAGATGGGCCCCCATGAGGACTGCAGGCAGTGCTGATGTGGTCTGGCAGAGCCATAGCTGAGAGGTGACATTGTCGGTCTTCTCTTTCAGGTTGCGGGACCTGGCTGGAGGTGAGGATCTGGTGGGCACTGGGGTGGTTCCACCCCCCCCCCCCCCACGTATGCATGCCCCCGCCCCCACGACTTAGGAAGTGCTAGCGCCTGTGGGATGGAGTGGTTCCATGTGATCCCTTAGGCATGAGAGGTCTCTGCAGAGGTCTGTGTCTTGGGAGAAGGGATCTACTCAAAGGCTCCCCAGCACTCAGTCGTCCTCTGTACTTGCTGAGTGCTGCTCAGACCTCATTGCCATTCCTGGCCTCAGGAGGCCTTGCAACCTTTACCAGTCCTGTTCTGTCTTGCTGGTGGAACTAGCCTCTCTTCATTCACCAGAATGTGCCTTGATGCTTCATGCAGGCCTGAGCTCGTGTCCACTGTTTCTAGATGCAGTTCACGCCGGAGAGTGTGTGTATTGTGTGGTGGATAGGTTTTTACCAGTGTCCAGGAACCCCCTGCAGTACAGAACGTCAGTCACCACTACGCAGCATAAGCTTGTTTAAGGAATAGACCTTGGCACTGTATGTGTGGCACAGATTGCCTTTCTGGATCTTCCTGATTCCCAGCTGGGTCCGTGTGGACCTGTAATGTGCATCTCCGCAGCATGGTCATCGCTGAGCACACTGAGTCTAGTGTGAGAGCAGACCTTGCAGAGTGGAGGTGATCCATGCCCTCAATGCCCCCACTGTCACCCTGGTTATCAGGCACTTTCCCAGATGATGATGTCCCTGAAAAAGCCTACAAGAAACTGCTGGAAGGGAGGCGGGAGCGGAAGAAGAAGAGAAAGAAACGTTTGTCCACGCCACAGCCCCAGAATGAGAAAGGTAGGGCCCTAGGCGGCAGTTAACATGGACTGCCTCACCCCCTCTGTCTCCCCTTCCCATCATACACAGACGCCTGCAGTGTACCTGGCCTGGGGACCCCGGCACTCTTCCCCTTTTTAATCGGAAGCCCTGCAGTCTGTGGGGTCTGCCCTCAAACTGTCGTGCCTGTGCTCTGCCTGGGCTACCTTTCCTGACCTCCTGCAGCGTTTGAGCTGAGCCTCACCTGTCCTGTATTCTTCAGTGGTCCTCACCTTCGCCACCTATGTCACTGTTGGTGTCCGCCCCCCCCTCCCCCCTCCCCCGGGTGTGTATGTGCTGGCTTGTGGCTCTTGTATTGACTGCCCAGGACCTGTGGTACATTGTTGGGGGCCCTGCCCTGAGTTGACAGTCTTTTCATGTTCGCTGTGAAGGGTCACTGGATTCACTGTCTCCCGCCCAGCTATCTCACATTGAGTCCATATTGTTCCCAGCTGGGCAGTGTCTTCCCATTAGCCTGTCCTTGGCTTGGCTCCAACTCAGTCCAGCCATAGCAGATTGAGTTGTGTTTGCTGGCCTTGGGACACAAGCCATGACTCTCTGATCAGAGAGAGAGCGCCATCTCTACCTCTCTTCTTGCCCCCTCCTCACACCCTTCTCCACATCCTTCCCTCTGGCTAGTCTTTCTGGGAGCCCAACCTTCCTTAGTATTCTGACTCTTAGGATTAAGCTCACTGCCCACACAACATGGGTGCTCTCTGGTCAGCAGCCATGGCTGGTGCTGTCCCTGGTGCTGACACTGCAGTTAAAGAGTCTGGTGAACGAAACACACCGTGTTGTCCCAGCAGATTGTTCACAAGCCTCACTGTGTCCACAGGAGAAAGTGAGACAGAAGCCTCAAGTTCAGACCTGAGCCCAGGGATGAAGAGGAAGAGGAGCAGGAGGAATGAGAAGACTGGCCAAAGAGGGCCTCCTGGGAAGAGGAGGAAGCCTGGTGCTAGAGCAAAGGGGGCTGGTGTCCAACAGCCAGCGAGGAAGAAGAAACGGCCCTTGCAGAGCGAGAAGTGAGGTCATGGCCCAAGCTGGCCATTCTCCTTGTTGGCACCTGGTTGTTGGGACAGGATACCTGGGCATGCTCCTGTAGCCTCTGAGTGCCGAGACTCTGAGCTTCCTGTAGGGAAGGGACAGGATACCTGGGCATGCTCCTGTAGCCTCTGAGTGCTGAGACTCTGAGCTTCCTGTAGGGAAGGGACAGGAGCAGTATGAAGAAGACTTCCTCTAGTACTGGCCTTCAGAAATGCTCCTGCCTCAGAACCATTGCCTACATACCATAAACTCACTCCTAAGACTCAAAGTTTTCCCTGTACTGTGTGCAGTGAAGGCCACACCTAATCCTAGCCAGAGGCCAGGGGTCTAGAGTTTGAGTCCAGCCTGGGTCCCAGAGGCCTCCCTCTCCCAAAATAAGAAAAACGAAACCAAATAACTCCATCTGTGTGGGTACTGTCACCTCTGCCCTGTGCTGCCCACAAATAAACTATGGGTCCTCAAAGCACACGGCTGTTTCTGCTCTTTGTGTGTACATCTGTGTAGGGTGGTAGGTGCCTCTTCCTGGGCGTTGTGTATGTTTTTATCTACTTTGTTTACATGTATCTGAGAACCCTTGAGAAGAGCCGTCCAGGCAGCTGTGGGTTGGGGCTCTGCACTCCTGCCTCATGAACTTGGCACTGTTGAGGGTTTTCAGGAGGTTCCTGTGGCTGAAGTGACAGGGCCATGGCAGAGAGGCCTGCTTGCTGCCGTCACCCCTCTCTGGGACGTTGTAGTGTGGCTGTGGCCACAGCATGGATTGAGACCCTGGGTTCTCATTCCTCAGAGGAGAGTAGACTCAGGCCTGCTGCTGTGGGCTTGTCCTTCCCTAGGGGTCCACCACGGGGGCAGCCAGGGTTCCAGGTCCAGGTGAAGGGTCGTGGGAGGGACAGGACCAAAGCCACCTGTCTGCTCCTGGAGCTTCTGGTGACTTCCGCACCTTACAGACTAAGGTGGAGTCAGCATTAGGCAGTGCGACTTATTCTAAGGGAGGTGCTGTCATGCTTAGGGCGTTCCCTGGGTATGATGACACTCGGAAGTGTGGTTTCTTTGGTGCCAAAGTCAGTCTCAGTAGTAGAGTCCCTGCTATTGAGTGAGGCCCTGGGGAAGGCCTGCAGCCGCACCACCACTGAAGCCCTCTGCCTGTGCTTTCCCTCTAACTGCCTAACTCCAGACATGAGTCACCGAGTCCCCTGCTGTTGACTGTGGCTCTTTATTGATGGAGGTCAGACAGTGTCACACGCACCTGAGGATGGCGGCGGCTGCTGCAAAAGTGGTCGTCTTTAATTCCCTGTGTGAGCGGCTTTGAGAGCAGTCACAGTCCACACCATCCACCCACTCTGTCTCATTCATGACTTATTAGGGTTTGCTCAGAAGTGGGCGACCGTCCCAGTTAGCACATCAGTTATGCCTGGCGTGCCTTGGCTAGCAGTCCTCCTTGTGTTGGCAGCCTCGATTGGATCCGTGTCACGTCTGCCAGCTCCCCACTCTGCACATGTGTACTGGAGACTGTGTAGTACATGTCTGTCAGCTCCTCTCTCTGCACATGTGTACTGGAGACTGCAGTACATGTCTGCCAGCTCCCCGCTCTGCACATGTGTACTGGGGACTGTGCAGTACATGTCTGCCAGCTCCCCGCTCTGCATGTGTGTACTAGGGACTGCAGTACATGTCTGCCAGCTCCCCTCTCTGCACGTGTGTACTGGGGACTGTGCAGTACATGTCTTTGCATCGGGCAGCTTTCACTTGGGTGTTCTCAGGGCTCAAGCCTGTAGCATATGCTCAAGTTTCCTGGTGTAGAACATGGACACTTGGGGTGTCTGCACTGGCTGTGAGGGAGTCATACTGCTCCGATGTGCACAGTTCATTGTGCACACGTGTCTTCACTGCTCTGGGGGAGACCCCCAGGAGTGGGGTTGCTAGGGCAGTTGTTTGAAGAACCACCAGGCTCTGTAGCAGCTTAGGGATGACAGCCCCTGTGCCCTGTGTGGCCCTGTGTGATCCTGTGTGACCCTGTGTGACTTTGTGTGTAGTTCTGTGCCCTGGTGCAACTCGAAGGAAAGCTGTCAGTCCTGGGATGTGGGAGTGGACCGGGTGACCCAGCAGTACCCTCTGTTCAGTGTCGGGAACCTGCTGTGCCCTGTTGGGGTGGCAGCTCGTGTGGAGGCTCACCTGTTCTACCGTGTCCTTTCTGGCCAGGCCATTTGGTCTCGGGATGGTGTAGCAGTAGATTTGGCTCAGCCTCTGAGTGTGTGATTTCAGCCAGAAAACAGGCCCCTCCCCAAGCCCATATATAGATGAACACTTACAGGAGAGAGGGAGTTCCTTGGTACTGATGGGGTGGGTTCCAGGACCCAACAACACTAGGCATCATCAACACTAAAGCCCCTCCTCAGATTGACAAAAAGACAAGGACACCATGCACCACACACGCACAGGAGAGGACTGCTTGCGTTATTAAGAGCCTACTGGCTGGCTGGTGGTGGCGCATGCCATTAATCTCAACAACATCTGCCTCTTGGGAGGCAGAGGCAGGCGGATCTCAGTGTGTTCAAGGTCGGCCTGGTCTATAAAGCAAAGTCCAGGACAGCCAGGGCTATAGTACAGTGAAACCCTGTCGTCTCATAGCAACCTTACCTAAGACTTTCATCATCTACAAAGAAGCAACAAACAGGAAAGATAAGTCACGTGATGGACTCGCTTGGCTTTGGAGACCACAGGGAAACTCAGTAGTAACCCCTTGTCCCTAGAAGCCAGCATAGGTAGATACCAGGAACCCTGCTCCTGGGTGTGCACACCAGAAGGGAACCCTGCCCCTGGGTGTGCACACCAGAAGGGCACCATTGAGGTCTGGAAGGCTGCAGCCAATGGGAGCAATGCGCCATGCTGGTGTGGATGAGGGCTGCTGGGCTCCTCCATCTTTAAAACTGAAGCAGGCTTCTTATCCCACCTCGTGTTCTGTTCGCCTGTCAGAAGAGTCCAGGTCAGTGCTGTGTCACAGGTGCAAGTCCACCCACAGCGTATTTTAGAACCTTTTCATTGCCTCCAGAGAAGCCCCTCCCAGTCAGGTCTCCTTTCCCTGGAGCAGACCTGGGGAAGTCGGGGTAAGGCTGTATGCTCAGCACCCTTGTATGGCAGGGGCAGGCTGTGGGTCACGGGCTGAGGTGCACTTGTTCAGTTAAATGGCAGGATACAGTGACCTGTGTCTTGCCCTTTGGGAGATCACAGGATCCTGCTGGAGGGAACCACAACCATTTCTCATCTTCCTGAGGTAGCTTCCAGAAGAGTCTGGGTTGGAGATCCCTCAGTTTCTTCCCTTTGCATCTCATTTCCTTCAGATGGTCATCAGACATGACCCCAGGAAGGTCACGCTACAGACAGCTCTGCGGCCTGTGCCCAAGAGCTTGTACACATATCTGCTCTGACATCTACACCCATCTATCAATTACCCATGAGTCTTTGTAGCCAGCCATCTGCCTCCCTACCTTCCCTAACTTCTAGTGTGTCTCCTATCACCCACCCACCATCTGCCCCCCACCATCCCCCGTCCCCATGGTTTTATCCCTCTGTCCACTGGTCCAGTTCATCTACTTATCTATGCCTTCAGAGGACAGGTGATTATCACAATTTTGCATGCAAAACAACCATCCTTCCAGGGTTATAAAGTCCTACCAAAGGTGACACCCCTCTGTTGGCATCTCCACATGGTGTCATCTCACCCTCAATGACATTTCCCTCACTGAAATCACCATTGAGCCCCTTGTTGACAGGGAACCTTTAGCCTGCACCCTGGAGGAGGGACGGGGTACTAGGCCAGTGGGCACTGGGCCTCTCCCTCTCCCTGTGTCTCCTCCCAAGTTCCCAGGTGGAGTTCCAGCATTTGCCTCGAGGGGCAGCCTGGGTTCTGGTTCTGGAGGCAGCTAACTACCAGCATCTCCAGTTTCTTGAATGCAGGCTGTGGTTTCCAAGGAAACAGGGTTCCAGGCTGGCAGGGAGGAACTTTCCTCCCAGTGCCTCTCAACAGCCGAAGTGCTGCCTCTGTGACCTGTGTTCAGTCTCCTTCCCACTGCTGCTCCTAATTATGGGCTTTCTGGGCAAGGGTTTTCAGCCCTTTCTTTTACTAAGTTCTGACTTGATAGAAATTGAAGGGGTGCCTGAATACAAAATAGGGGTGCTGTGACTCGGAAAGCTTCAGGGACCAAGCCAGGCTTCTACTGGCTTAAACAGGAAAGGGGATTCCCAGCTGGGCACCTGCACTAAAGTGGAGACCACTCTGATTGGTTCCTACAGTCCAGACTCCAGCAAGGGGTGTATGACAGAAGGCCATACCCCATAGCCCCTCCCTGTCTGGAGCTTCTGGGAGCCTCTGGGTTGAAGAGGCATTTCTGGGGCTCTACTAGGTGCAGTCAAGGCAGGAAACCCAGGTTTCCCCTGTGATGGGTGAGCCCCCTGATCCAAGTGGAGACACAGAGGGCCCATCCAGAATGGTTTCTGTGGGTTGAAAAGGTGAGCTAGGACAGGTAACTGAGGATGGGATAGTGTGGGACACTTCATCAGGCTTGGAGCATGGCCTCTATCTGTAGTGATATTTCATTTGTATTTAATAACTAAAGCTTGCCTGAAGATCAGAGAATAAAACAGCCCCACTGGTCAGCCTTACAGACCAGGAAGTGGTGACACACACCTTTAATCCCAGTAGCCACACTAGTTTTCGTAGTTTATGGTTGTGGCGCACGCCTTTAATCCCAGCCCTAGAGAAGAACATAAGACTGGAGGAGACAATTCTCACAGTCTGATTCTGAGATTCCTGGAGGCAGGATCGCCATTTTTGACTGAGGTTAAGGTGAAAACCAGTGGCTGGCTGCTTTGCTTTTCTGACCTTCGGGATGAACCCCAATATCTGTCTCTGGGTTTTTATTAATCATGCTACAACTGTCCCCGGGTGTCTGGTGTCTGTCTGAAGTGATGAGAAAAAGGTAAGGATCCCTTAGAAACAGTTCGAGTGAGGGCCGCCCAGCTGGGTATGAGTGAAAGGTGGGCTCTCTCTCTCTCTCTCTCTCTCTCTCTCTCTCTCTCTCTCTCTCTCGTGAAAGGTGGGCTCTCTCTCTGAAAAGCCTAATGCTGGCGGAGCTGTCCCTCCAGGCCAGCACAACCCTGGGTGTCATTGCATCAGCTGCAGAAGCTAGAAATGCGCTCTGAACATTCCTGCTTCCTCGCCCACTGGCTTCCTAGTTCTTGCTCACAGTAAAGGACAGGAGGAGAGGGAGTCAGGGACTTGGTCCTTCCTCTTCCTTCCCGTGAGTGTCTCTTCATCGCTGCCGATAGTTGCAGTTCAACCTCCGGCAGGCAGCCAGAGCTTGGAAACCAGGTGGAAGCAATTGTCTGGAGACAATGGCCACAGCGGGAAAGTCCACCTGAGCCCAGAAGGGGGCGCTGTTGATTCAGCTGGTGAAGAGCACCATGTGGGCA